TCGATGTTTCTCCTCATCGATGTTTCTAACTCTCTATCTCTCTCCCTTCCTCTCTGTAAAAAATCAATAAAATATATTTTTAAAAAAAATGGACAAAAGACCTAAATAGACACTTTTCCAAGGTGGACATACAGATGGCCAAGAGAGCCCCGTTTGGCTCGGTAGATAGAGAGTTGGCCTGCGGACTGAAGGGTCCCAGGTTCGATTCTGGCCAGGAGCACATGACCAGGTTGTGGGCTTGATCCCCAGTGGGGTGTGTGCAGGAGGCAGCTGATCATTGATTCTCTCATCACTGATGTTTCTATCTCTCTCTCCTTCTCCCTTCCTCTCTGAAATCAATAAAAATATATGTTTAAAAAATAAGTGAAAAAGAGATATATGAAAAAATGCTCAAAGTCACTAATCATCAGAGAGATGCAAATTAAAATGACAATGAGGTATCACCTCACATGTATCAGAACAGCTACTATCGGCAAATCAACAAATGACAAGTGCTGGCAAGGATGTGGAGAAAAGGGAGCCCTGGTACACTGCTGGTGGGAATGCAGACTGGTGCAGCCACTATGGAAACAGTATGGTGTTTCCTTAAAAAATTAAAAATGTAACTGCCATTTGACCCAGTGATCCCACTTCTAGGAATATATCCTAAGAAACCTGAAACACCAATCAGAAAGAATATATGCACCTCTATGCTCATAACAGCACTACTTACAATAGCTAAGATCTGGAAACAGCCCAAGTGCTCATCAATAGATAAGTGGAAAACAAAGCTGTGGTACATTTATACCATGGATTACTATGCAGCAGTGAAAAAGAAGACTCTCTTACCCTTTGAGTCAGCATGGAGGGACCTAGAGAGTATTATGCTAAGGGAAATAAGCCAGTCAGAGAAATACAAGTATCACATGATCTCACTCATATGTGGAATCTAAGTAACAAAATAAACTGATGAACAGAGAGTCCAGAAACATGAAAGCATGGAACAGAATGCGGAATGTCAGAGGAAGGCAGGGGAGGGTGGGTAGGTGGGAGGTAATCAACCAAAGACCTTGTATGTGTATATGCATAACCCATGGACAAGGACAATTAGGTGGTGAAAGCCTGGGGCAGGACAATTAGGGGGTTAATGGGAGGGGAGGGGACATATGTAATACTTTCAAAAATAAAAATTTTAAAAATAAATTTTTAAAAAAGAGAAAAATATCCTTGAGTTAGAATCAACAACAACAACAAAAAAGGCAGTCTTTACTGTCAATTGAAATGGAAAATTATTATAAGAGAACTTGATTCAATCATATATTTTTATACTAAAAACATGGGAAGACATGGAGATTCCTATCACTAGCATAAGTTTCACTGATCAGCCAGAGTCAGAGCCACTGTTGGGGTCTCCAGGATCATTTAGCCCCTCCAGGTACTGCTTCCAGTTGTATCTGGTGGCTACTGCCCCACAGGGGAGCCCCTGACCACCCTCAGTGTGGATGCTAAGAGAACCACTTCCTATTCTGCCTCTTCCCAGTGTCTGCCCCCCCCCCCACCCACACACACACACACACACCTTGCTGCGGGGGAAAACCCAGTCTTTAGACATTGAGTGGAAGAATCTGGGGGAAACTCAGCAGCTGGGAGAACCAACCAGGTAGACTTCCAATGCCTTTCATCAAATGACCCAAATGTCTTTACTCCCCTTGGTTTGTTTTCATTAAATTCAGTCAATTAGAATTTTTTTTCTCTTAACAAGTAACTTCTGAAAAGGCAAGCATATCTTGAGTTATTTTTAATGAGTTTAACACAATTGTTTTCCTACTAATGTGAGACTAGCCACATCTGAGTTCAATTTTTATTTTAAGAAACATGTATTAAGCACCTGTTAATGTGCCAGACATACTAAGTGAGCCAAATAAAGACCATAAATAGCTTCATAGCAGCACAGGTTGGCTTTTGCCACCAAATGAGCGTCCCTAATTGGGAGGGGGGAGGGGGAGCACGTCAGGGGAAGAAAGACCTTGAACAAGCAATAACAGAAATGATAATGCCATGAGAAACATCCCAAGAATGGTGTGCCAGCTTATAGCACGGCAATTTAACTAGTCTGGGTTGAGAAGGAGTAACCCAACTGGAGACTTGGGGGATGGGTTAATTTTAATCAGGTTAAGGTGGGGTGAGGTTGTCCCAGGCTCCAGCCCAGAGTGACTGTAGGGTGGGCAGTCTGGCCATGGAGGAGCCTGTCAAGCCCAGTGACTGACAGATTTTAAGCAGGGAAATGCAGTGACCTGCATTTTAAACAACCCCTCTGGCGACAGTGAGAGAATAAAGTGGATGGGGGGGAACCATTTTGAAATCTGTTGCAGGAATGCAGATAAGGGATGATGGAGGCTTAAACCAACTGGTGTCAGTGAAACTAGGGAGACTCAGAGATTCAGACATTCAGAAGTTCTTTGAGGAGGCAACATCTACCGGACACAGTGAATTATTTTAGGAAGGTGAAGAGAAAGACTCCTGGGTTTTCGCGTTGAACAAGGGATGGATGGTGGAGTCCTGTACTGAGGAGCAGGGTTGGGGGGGTAGGATGATGAGTCTAAATCCAGGTATGTTGCTTTTGAGGTGCCTCAGGGACATCTGAGGGGTGACAGCTATTCACAAACACCTGAATGTAGGGGAGAGATGACAATCTGGAGTCACCAGCATCAGGATAGTAACCATGTGTGAAGAGTAAGAAATGCAGACACTCTACTACAAGAAGTAGAAGTCTGACACTTAAGGGATGAGATGAGGTGGTAGAAGCCACAGGCAAAGGAGACCATGAAGGACAGCCAGAAAACAGGAGGTAAAAAGCAAGTGTAACATCACAGACTCAAGGTCAATGAAGATACAAACTAAAAAACATCTAGGGATTTTGGGACCCAGAAGTCATCCACAGGCTACTTTAATGAGAGCATTAGGGTAGGATGATGGGTTTGGAGTGGGTTGAAAAGTGAATGTGAGGTGAGAAAATGAACCCCAAAGTATGGATGGCTTTTTCAAGAACCTGGACTATAAAAGGAAGAAGAGATTAAGAGTGTGATTTCTTGCCCAGCCAGTGTGGCTCAGAGGTTGAGCATCAACCTATGAACTAGGAGGTCACGGACCATGATTCAATTCCTGGTGAGGGCACATGCCAGGGTTGTCGGCTCAGTCTCCAGTGGAGGGTTTGCAGGAGGCAGCCAATCAATAATTCTCATCACTGATGTTTCTATCTCTCTCCCTACCTCTCTGAAATCAATATATATACAAAGAGTGTGATTTCTGAGAAAGAACCAGGTTATGAGGGGTGATTTTGTTTTGTTTTTAGATAAGAGAGTTAAGTATATTTTGGATCACTTCTCATAATGGCACTAATAAACGTTAGCATTATTACATCACTAGAGACCAAGTACATGAATTTGTGCACGGGTGGAGTCCGGCCGGCCCACCCCAATCGGGGCCAATCAGGCCAGGCCAGCTGGGGGTAGGGGCCCTTCCCCCTGATCAAACTCCTGTTGAACTCCTGGTTGAGGGGATAATTTGCATATTACCCTTTTATTATATAGGAGGTATGGTAAGTCCATGACAGGTGTGATCAGAGTTCAAAGCTAAATCACAAGTTGTATTTAGTAACTTGCTGGTGTGCTCAGCTGAGCATGTCTTTTTCCTCTTAAGTCTTTCATTATAAGAATGAAACCCCTTTAGTGAACTTTCAAAGCAAGATTTCTAAAAACTTTAGAAATTTAGATAAATATATTTCAAAGCTGATGGGAATAACCAGTAAAGAAGGGACAGTTGGAGGCAGAGGAGAGAGAAGGGATAATGATTAACAGAAGGTTCCTAAAATGGGCAGAGAGGCAGGGCTCCACAGTGGAGGGGAGGGTTGACTTTGCACAGGTGAATGGCACTTCTCCCCAGTGAAAGCAGGATGTGGAGAGGATAGAGCTGATAGCCTCACAGAGATTTTGGTGGGAGGGTGAGGGAGCTCGCACCTCAGGCTTCCAGCTGCTTGGTATGGTAGGCAAAGTCAGCTCTGAGAGTTAACTAGGGGAAGAGGTGAGGTTTGAGGGAAGCGAGGAGAGGAGGTCGAAAGAGCAGTTGTGGAGAACTGAAGCAGAACCCACCATGGTGCCTTGCTGGGTACAGCTGAGGGTGTATGCATGATCCCCCATACTGGCCTAGTGCTATCTTCTTGTGCAGCTTCAGTGCAATGGGTAGCCTGCAGTTAGCTGGATCCATGCAGTGCTGGGCGGTGGCCTAGCAGGTGCATCAGAAGGACAACAAGGTAGAGTTGAGGATGTGGGTAGGAGAGTGATTGATGAGATGGGCTATGTAATCTGGGCTGCATAGAGAGGTAAATGCAAGCAGGGAAGTGGCCAGTGGGTGGAATGACAGTCAAAAGAAAGGGACTTCCTCTAAGACACACTTGGAGTTACAAAGATGATTGGATAGAGGTTTGGCTGTCGAGGGACATGCAGCTCCGTGGGGATGCCGACAGAGCCACATGTAAGTGAACCAGACAATCTCTGTCAGGTTAACCCTCTTGCCAAGACCAGGCTTGCAACCAGGAAAAGGGAAAGAAATGTAAAGAGGGGCATGAGGCATGGATGGGATTGTAATAGCCCTTCTTTGTGATTAGGTAGGGCTTATGCAAATAATTCAGAATTTGAAGCTTTTAGAAATCTTGTTTTGAAAGCTCACTAAAGAGGCTTCATTCTTATAATGAAGGGCTTAAGAGGAAAAAGACATGCTCAGCTGAGCACACCAGCAAGTTACTAAATACAGCTTGGGATTTAGCTTTGAACTCTGATCACACCTGTCATGGACTTGCCATATGATGTAATAATGCTAATGTTTATTAGTGCCATTATGAGGAGTGATCCATAAAAATGCCGATATAGTTCACAGAAAATTAAGTTCACCTAAATTCAAAATAGTAACTTTGACTGCATAAAGGCATTAATTTGATTTTCAAAAATCTAAATCTCAATACCAACCTATATTTCTCTGAATTAGCATGCACTCCTTCTCCTTTGTGGAAAACTGGCTTCTGCTTGAAATGCCCAAGTCAAAGCAGTATTTATTCCTCCCCATGTCGAACAAAGTGCAATTGAACACTGTTCTCCTCTGTCCCAAAGTCAGTCTGTTTTCAGCCAGGCGAATGGTCTTTTCCCCAGGACGTCTGGGGGCCTCCTTGAAGACAGCAATCACTCCTTGGACGAAGATGCATGGTGGGGGCAGCACCATCACCTCCACCCGGGACGCACATGTGAGTTCTGGCACCATCACCAATTTGTATCCAAATTTCTGGGCCAGGTCAATCGGTCCTATGGAGGTAATGACTGAGTCTCGGCCAAACAACTTCAGCACCACGGTGACATAGGCTTCTGGCCCCACAGGTGCACAGCCAAACTCAACCCACTGGCCTTGAGAGAGTTCTGTCCTCTTGCTGGTTTTTATCTCCAGTGGTTGTTCCTGACTTGTTCTTGCCTCGGGAAGACTGTTGGTGAAGATGACATCCACCAAGATGTCAGGCTTGTCCACAGGGAACAGGCATAGTGGTTGATTGGTGAAAAGGCCCACCTGGAAGGTGCCTTCTGCTGCTTTGGATGTCCTATTCAGATCAACCTGAAAGACGGGCCATTCCACCTTCAGAAAGGCACTTTTCTCCCACCAGGGAACTGGAGTGCTACTATCTGTCACTCCCTGAGTCATTGTGAACCAGTAGTCGCCAGCCTCCTTGAAGTAGAAACATTCAAACTCGAGTGTCCCCTGGGACTGGTTGGTCAGGAGGTATTTGGTGGTCACAGTCTGATTGGTGTTAGCCTCCAGCAACAGCACAGTTACATTCCTCAGGGTCCCATTAGCACCATCAAAATACTGGAAATCCACAGACACTGTGGTGTTGCTTAGCGCTACATGTCCTGGCTCTCCCAAGAGGAGATATTCAGCTTCTCCAAGAACTGAAATGAAATGGTCAGAATGGGTTTTACAAAGGCATGGTTAAGCAGCACTATGGGAGACATCAAAGAAAAAAATCATTATAGACACAAGAGAAGTTTGAACTGAGCCAAGAATGATATAAAATGATGCTGAGTGCTGATTCAGGGAGGTGGGCACTATACTGTTTCAATTTTAAAATGGATCTGTTCCTTTATCTTCCTCTTCTATGGTTATGTTTAAAATAAACAGTAATACCCTGAATTCATAACATTCAACAATATAATGTGTCTGCAATGAAAATCTATAAAGAAAGAGTAACAATTTATAGGTTCAAGATAAAAATCTAATACCTCACTTTTCTCATTTTAATCATATTCTGGTGTTCAGGTATTTGGGGGAGATGGATTTACAGTGAAGTCAGAGAAGCTTGGTTTATTTATTTTTTAATGTGTTTTTATTGATTTTAGAGAGGAAGGAAGAGGGAGAAACTGAGAGGGAGCAACATAGATCGGTTGACTCCCATGCACACCCCAACTGGGACTGGACCCACAACCTGGGCATGTGCCCTGACCGGGAATCGAACTGGTAACCTTTCAGTGCATGGGATGGCACTCAACCAACTGAGCCACACCAGCCAAGGCAGAGAAAGCTTGGTTTAAATGGTATAATATACACTTCTCTAGGTAACTTAAAATTTCAGACCCTAAATATACTTCAAATTTATTTTTCAGGTAGTCAAGGCAAGTATTTTGTTGGACAATTTCACTGTAAAGAAACCAATGATCCTGGTTTATACAAGGCAGAAAATTTTGGACAAATAAGAAATGTTGACACTCTGTTCTCCAAGGGTCATCCAAGGAAAGAATGAAACTTTATGAAACAACTAGGCATGTCCTTGGCAATTTTAATGACATTATAAAACTGCTATTGCCCCAGATAGGATGGATGACCACGAGCCTGCTAGTATGCTGTTAGGATCAATCATATCTTTTAAAAAAGAGACCCATAAAAACAACTAAGTAAAGACTGTAAAAAACATAGAACTTTGTTTCTATTTTGAACCCTATCCAAATACACATCAAAGAAGACAGAATTTGGCAATGCCACAATCAGCTGGCCATGGCTAGGGTAAGAAACCATTCTAGGTTTTAGGGACTACAGTACCATTATGGTTTGAAAAACAATGTGTAAGTATGAATTCATTTACCTTACTATATATATATTCATATGTATATAATATATACATATTATGACATATATATATATATATATCCAAAGGGTCTCAATGTGTTGTTTGGGCTGGTAGTCTTTAAAGCTACCCTTACATGTATTCAGTAAATGATTTTTAGAATCAACACATGAATATATTGGCACACAGAAATTTTGGGGTTTTCTTTTAATTAGCTCAGCAATTCTTCCATTTCTTTTTTTTTAAATAAAGAAACATTTATTTATTTATTTATTTAAAATATATTTTTATTGATTTCAGAGAGAAAGGGAAAGGGAAAAAGAGAGAGAAACATCAATGATCAGAGAGACTCATTGATAGGCTGCCTTCTGCATGCCCCACACTGGGGATCAAGCCCACAACCCAGGCATGTGCCCTTGACTGGAATCGAACCTGGGACCCTTCAGTCCACAGGCTGATACTCTATCCACTGAGCCAAATCAACTAGAGCTTCCATTTCTTATTTAAGATGGGGTGAAAGAAAAGATATAAAACTTGGATAGTCCTGAATGCTTGATCACCAATTGTTTGAAAACCTTAGTAAAATACAGTTGTGGGGTTTTTAAAAAATTATTTAGTCAAAACAGAAGTTGAAGGATACTTCCTTTCAGATGTAAACAATTCAAGGTTAAGATTGAAAAAGGTGGCTAATTCTGGTGCAGTTCATAGAATGGTAGTTCATAGCAGAGCTGGTACCTTTTTGTGTACAGGTGGCTAAAGAGACTCCAGTGCTCACTGAATTAAGACTAAGAGGCATACACCACTAAAATACTACGAACAACTCTACTCCAACAAACTGGACAACCTCGACAAAATGAACATATTCTTAGAAAAAGACAAGCTTCCAAAACTCAATCAGGAAGAATCAAAAAACCTGAATAGGCAGATTACTACTGATGAAATTGAAGCAGTAATCAAACATCTTCCAGAAAACAAAAGCCCTGGTCCAGACAGCTTTACAGGGAGTTCTACCAAACATTCAAAAAAGAACTAAAATCTACCCTCCTCAGACTATTCCAAAAAATTCAAGAGGAAGGCACACTTCTAAGCTCTATGAGGCCACCATTACCCTAATTCTAAAACCAGATAAAGACAGCACAAAGAGAACTATAGGCCAATATGCTAGATGAACATAGATGCTAAAATCCTCAACAAAATCCTAGCAAATCAGATCCAGCATTACATTAAAAAGATCATACACCATGACCCAAGTGGAATTTATTCCAGGGATGCAAGGATGGTACAATATCTGCAAATCAATAAATGTGATACATCACAGAAATAAATTGAGAGACAAAAATCACATAATCATATCAATCAATGCAGAAAAAGCATTTGACAAAAATCTAACACCCTTTCTTGATTAAAATTCTCAGCAAAGAGAGAATAGAGGGATCATACCTCAACATAATAAAAGCCTTATATGACAAACCTACAGCCAACATCATACTCAATGGGCAAAAACTAAAACCATTTCCCCACAGGAACAAGACAGGGACGCCCACTTTCACTACTCCTGTTCAACACAGTACTGAAAGTGCTAGCCATAGCGATCAGACAAGAAGAAGAAATAAAAGGCATCCAAATTGGAAAAGAATAAATAATACTGTCATTATTCACAGATGACATGATATTGTACATAGAAAACCCTAAAGAATCCATCAAAAAACTACTAGACTCGCCAAAACCGGTTTGGCTCAGTGGATAGAGCGTCGGCCTGCGGACTGAAGGGTCCCAGGTTCGATTCCGGTCAAGGGCATGTACCTGGGTTGCGGGCACATCCCCAGTAGGAGATGTGCAGGAGGCGGCTGATCGATGTTTCTCTCTCATCGATGTTTCTAACTCTCTATCCCTCTCCCTTCCTCTCTGTAAAAAATCAATAAAATATATTTTAAAAAAAACAACAAAAAACTACTAGACTTAATAAATGAATTCAGCAATTTAGCAGGATATAACATTAACACCCAGAAATCTATGGCTTTTTTATATACCAATAATGAACTCACAGAAAGAGAAACTAAAAAAAAACAATCCCACTTACCATTACACCAAAAAAATTAAGATACCTAGGAATAAACTTAACTAAGGAAGTAAAAGACCTGTACTCAGAAAACTACAGGACATTGAAAAAAAGAGAGAGAGGAAGACATAAAGAGATGGAAGAACATACCATGTTCTTGGATTGGTAGAATCAACATCATTAAAATGTCCATAGTACCCAAAACAATTTATAGATTCAATGCAATTCCCGTTAAAATACCAACAGCATATTTCACAGACCTAGAACAAACTCTACAAAAATTCATCTGGAAGAAAAAAAAAAAAAAAGACCCAGAATAGCCACAGTAATCCTGAGAAAGAAGACCAAGTTGGAGGAATCACAATACCAGATATCAAGCTATATTACAAAGCCACTGTTCTCAAAACTGCCTGGTACTGGCACAAGAACAGACATATAGACTAATGGAACAGAACAGAGAACCCAGAAATAGACCCAAGCCATTATGCTCAATTAATATTTGACAAAGGAGACAAGAGCATACAATGGAGTCAAGACAGTCTCTTCAATAAATGCTGCTGGGAAAATTGGTCAGAAACATGCAAAAAAATAAAAATAAATCACCAACTTATACCACACACAAAAATAAATTCAAAATGCTTAAAGGACTTAAACATAAGATGGGAAACCATAAAAATCTTAGGAGACTCCTTAGGCAGCAAAATATCAGACATATGTTGTAGCAATATCTTTACTGATACAGCTCCTAGGGCATTGGAAACTAAGGAGAAAATAAACAAATGGGACTACATCAAAATTAAAAGCTTCTGCAGAGCAAAAGAAACCATCAACAAAACAACAAGAAAGCCCACTGCATGGGAGAACATATTTGCCAATGCTAACTCAGATAAAAATTTAATCTCCAAAATTTACAGGGAGCTCATACAACTTAACAAAAGGAAGATAAACAATCCAATCAAAAAATGGCCAAAGTACCTAAATAGACACTTTTCCAACAAGAATATACAGAAGGCCAAGAGACGTATGAAAACATGCTCAAAGTCACTAATCATCTGAGAAATGCAAATCAAAACAATAATGAGGTACCATTTCACACCTGTCAGAATGGCTATCATCAACAATTCAACAAAGGACAAGTGCTGGCGAGGATGTGGAGAAAGAGAACCCTCCTGCACTGCTGGTAGGAATGCAACTGATGCAGCCACTGTGGAAAACAATATGGAGATTCCTCAAACAATTAAATATTGAACTCCCATTCAACCCAGTAATCCCACATCTGGGAATATATCCCAAGAAACCAGAAACACCAATCAGAAAGGACATATGCACCTCTATGTTCACAGCAGCACGATTTACAATAGCTAAGATTTGGAAATAGCCTAAGTGCCCATCAGCAGATGAGTGGATTAGAAAACTGTGGTACATCTATACAATGGAATACTACGCTGCTATAAAAAAGAAGGAACTTTTACCATTATAACAGCATGGATGGACCTGGAGAGCATTATACTAAGTGAAATAAGCCAGTCAGAGAAAGATAAATATCACATGATCTCACTCATATGTGGGATATAATGAACAACATAAACTGATGAACAAAAATAGACCCAGAAACTAAGAAACACTGGACAGTCCAACCTCAGAGAGAAAGTGTGGGGGGGCAGAAGGGTAAGAAATCAACCGAAGGACTTTTATGCATGCATATTAGCATAACCAACGGATACTGGGGCGGTGGGGGCTTGTCCTGGGGGAGGGCAAAGTGGGGGAGTGTCAATCGGGGAAAAACAAGACATATGTAATACTTTAAACAATAAAAAAAGAGGCATATACCACTTAGTTAACTAATAGACATATGTAATATTTTAAACAATAAAAAAAAAAGAGGCATATACCACTTAGTTAACTAATGAAAGCCTATTGTCAATGCCAGGGACTGTCAATGAGGAGGATCAAATTCTGATTTGATGGGCAACCAATCAATGAAAGAGACATACATGCCCAGTTGGAAATGGAGAAAAAAGATACAATGGGTTCCAGCATAGAGTACTAAAAAGAGAGCTTACTACTTTACAACTCTTGTTTTTTCAGACAAGAATATCATTTCATTTAGAAAACTGCAATTTGATTGTTTGCCATACTGACTACTACAGTATAGCTTTCTCTATGATTTCATTTCTTCTCTCCCCATTCCTTTATTGTATTTAAAGGACTGTTGCCTCAATATAAACATGTTGCTTAATAAAAACAACCTAGCCCTGGCTGGTTTGGCTCAGTGGATAGAGCAGACTAAAGGGTCATGGGTTTGGTTCCGGTCAAGGGCACGTACTTCGGTTGCAGACTCGATTCCTGGCATCTCTCTCTCACATCAATGTTTCTCTCTCTGTGTCTTTTCCCTCCCTTCCACTCTCTAAAAAATCAATGGAAAAAATATCCTCAGGTGAGGATTAAAAAAAACAAAAACCATCTTATTGGTAATGGTATATTTTTATCAACATCAAATAGAGAAGGGGAAATAAAAACCTAGACCTATAAATATAGCTGTTCTTCCATTAGTAGCCTATGCACTCAGCTTCTATGCTGTATGCTCTATTTTATGCTCATTCAATTTTTATCTTTATATTCCAGTAAGATATTTTGTGCTCAACAATGATAAACATCCATCCATGGTCCTGGCTGGGTAGAGCATCATTCCGATACGCAAAAGTTGGGAGTTCGATTCCCACTCAGGGAATCATACAAGAATCCACCAATGAATGCATAAATAAGTGGAACAAATCTCTCTCACTCTCTCTCTTAAAAATCAATCAATAAATAAATTAATTAAAAAGACAATGACAAATATCCTTGCCGACTTTATTTAAATGGAAGATTTTAGTGGGGGGGGGGGGGGAATGGGGAGGAAGGACACATATGCAATAAATTAATCAATAAAGAAATTTTTTAAAAATTTAAAAAAATAAATGGAAGATTTTATGTCTTTATTTATCACTATGAAAACAAGGACACTTATAAATTATTGTATGAGGCTGTTACATACACAGCAATCAGTTTTTAAGTAGGGATAAATGACTTTAAAAGAAATGAATCCCAGATTGGGCATTCTAGAAAAACTTGTTTAATTAAACTTCTTAAAAAAAATTACTGAGAAGATTCACTGGACAAAATGACCAGTATGAACTCTAGTCCATTTAACTGGCTGTGCCATCGATATTACACGAGCCAGGATTCTCCTTCTCTTGGATCATAATTTTTTCATCAAAATGGAAACAACTTCTACTCTCATACCATCAACTGCTTAGATGTTTATGAAATATTTGGAAACCAGCATTATTGACTCCATTGGTTCAGTAGTTGCATGTCTGAGAAATGAACTCAATATTTAATTGAAACTGAATGAAGAAAACTAACATTAAATACCACTGTATGCTCAACCATTCAAGGTGTTTCCAATTCTTAACTATTTTACCATAGCAACAACCCTGTGAAGTCAATATTATTACTAAGGTTGAAAGGAATTTAAAAATTTATCTAAAGCCCTAGCCAGTTTGGCTCAGTGGATAGAGCGTCAGCTTGCAGACTAAAGGATCCCGGTTCAATTCCGGTCAAGGGCACATGCCCTGAGCTCGATCCCCAGTAGGGGGCGTGCAGGAGGCAGCCAATCCATGATTCTCTCATTGGTGTTTCTATCTGTCTCCCCCTCTCTCTTCCTCTCTGTAATCAATAAAAACATATTTTTTTAAAAAACTTATCTAAGGTATACAATTGGCAAAGACTGAAAATTCAAAGTGGTTCCAATGATAATATAGCAGCAAAACTCTCTTGTCAAGTGCAATCTTACATCAAACCTCAATGTATAAAACATCATGTAACAGGCTTGTCTCCAATTTATTAAATTGAAAGTGAGTTGTTTCTATTATCTTTTTAAGATTTAAAAATATATTTAAAGTGAAATTTGAATCCATAATTCAGAACTTTAACAGAACCCAGGGTTACAAGGATCATAGTTTGAAAGGTACTGCATTGTAAACCCTGCCCTGCCTCCTCATGCAGGTCATCAACGTCAATGCATTTATAAACTTGTCAATGATGTTTCTTCATTGGTTCCCATAGCATTAAGTACACTCACAATACTCACCACAGTCACAGAGCACCACCAACAATAGATTTGAAAAGTCTTTCAACATTTGTTTCATTCTGATCAGCAAAATCCCAGGTCTTTGGTCTCCTCATGTCCTTTCTCACATCTAAACTGTGAATTTTTTTTTTCAAAAACACCTGAAATTAGAACCTCAGAAAAATGATGATATTCTTAAAATAGTAATCATGAAATTACAAAAACCATTCTAAGAAATCAAACTTCCTAGGTAGTACTGAGAAGAGCATACAAAGGACACTCATTTTCACTGGGGAAATGATCTGTAATTATACACTTCCCCTTTCTTCCATTATAGATCACCTGTTAAGAATATTCAGGGTGCTCAACACCAAGATTACCTTTGCAGAACATCTTTGTAGCACATCTTTCAGTGGAGAATTTATTATTATTTTCTTAACTTCATCAAAGCTAATAGCCAATCTTTTTTGTTGTTAATCCTCACCCAAAGGTATTTTTCCCATTGATTTTTAGACAAAGTGGAAGGGAGAGGGAGACAGAGAGAGAGAAATATCAATGTGAAAGAGACACATTGATTGGTTGCCTCCCACACGTGACCAAGCCTACAACCAAGGAACATGCTCTTGACCAGAATTGAACCCAGGACCCTTCTGTCTGCAGACCAATGCTCTGTCAACTGAGCCAAACCAGCAAGGGCGCCAGTCTTGATAATACATCTTCACATATTTATCTGCTTGGTATTTCACACTGATTTACTAAACTTTAGTAAATTGATTAAATGTTTGTCAAACTTTCTTTTAGCATTATGCTATGTAGAAAAGTCCTACCTTGCTTCCACAAACGGGCATACTATCTTCCTTGTACAATCGGTGTATTATCTGAATTGCTTCATTTCTTAATGCCTAGGAACTGTACCAAAACTATCAAACCTTTAAAAAAGATACCCAGAGTAGTCAATTAAATGTGAACTTCATGTGGCTCTGACTTCCCTTATTTAGATTACTCTAAAGCAGTGGTTCTCAACCCTGGCTGCACATTAGAATCACCTGGGAATCTTTTTAAAATCCTGATTTCTGGGCCTCATCCTCCAGAAATTCTGTTTCTTTGTTATGGGGTGGGGCCTCAACATTAGTAACAAAGAAACAGAATTTCCGGAGGATGAGGCCCAGAAATCAGGATTTTAAAGATTCCCAGGTGATTCTAATGTGCAGCCAAGGTTGAGAACCACTGCTCTAAAGAGAAAACAGAGAAATAACAATTATCATCATATGTCAGTCCTCAAATACTTGTTGCTGCTGTTACACATCAAGAAACAGATGATTTCATGCAGCAATCTTCCCAGACCACCTAGGAGAGCAGGAAAGACCTTGTTGGCCTGTGCTTCACAATGATTTGTGGGAGGAGGCACTCACTTTAATATAAACAACTGTTAGACCACGAATAGTGGGCATTTAAGTGCCCTTTGTTTTTCATACTAGAATCTAGTAAAAATGGGCTAGTAAACATAACCAAGTATATATTTACTTAATGTCCATATTCCCATTATCCAGTTAATAATTTTAATAAATATATTTTATTCCAAATATAAGTATGCTATATCCACTCAATAAGATAGAAAAATAATGGACTTAAAGGGAATGATTGGAATAATAAAAAATTCAATAGAAAGAGAACTGATATGTGTTTATTAGCTTTCTTTTAGTGGGAGTTGGTTGAACAAAGGAAATATGTGCTGTACTTCCTTAAAGGAAAGCAGAGATTTAAAGCGTAATTATGCAGATGATTAGGACTCCCTCCACCCCACCAACAAAACAAAACAAAAAATTCAATTTTGCTGGAATTAGGCACAGATTTGACCTTAATCCTTTTTTTGAACATGGATTGGGAAACTTGGGCAAAGACAGCAAGTGAACATCATGTATCTCCCCAGCAAGCATAGGATTTGGGGCAATTAAAAAGCTTCCTTTAAGTCAGCGATGCTTAGTAACCAAAGTCAGAAGAAACAAGCATCCATAGCTCCCAAAAGTTGAATGGCTTTTCCCAAATTGCTTGCTTCCCCGTTATAACTATTTTTTTTAATGAAGCTCCTAATTACAACTGATTTTGTGATTATAACACATTTTTCTCCTTAAGAAAATGACCAGTAAAACCTAGAATAGTGTAATAATCTATATTTAGAACTGAATAGAAATGAAATTATAAAATAAACCATCCTACCTGAAATCATAATATAGATTTATTTTTTTTTGTATTCTCAAGCTTCTGAAAATATATGCTGAAATTTTACTAGCGCAACCACTAATCTGAATAGTTTAACAGAGCATCCCAAAACAGAATTAATTACTGCGGGAAAAGCAATACATTAAAAAAAAATTATAGCATGCTTTTTTTTTAATAACTTGCTTGCTCAATTTATCCCAACATGTTGTTCCCAATACAGTACTTGCTACTTACAATGTTTGACTTGAGAATCATTTTGAGAAAATAAGAACTTAAGTATACTTTATACACATTTTAAAATACTTCTATATAGCATTCACAGACAAATTCTAAATATATCAACTACAGGGTAGGTAGAAGTTGTGAATATTCTCAATGGCTAATGGTATCACACCAAGCTCAGATTTCATGTTTTTGGTGAAACCAGCTAAGATAATCCCCACAGTTTCTTCGTAATCGCAGGAAAAGACAATGAATTATGCTCAGGACAGACCACCAATGGCTTATTAAAAATAAAAGGGAAAAGACCCCCCTAGCTCAGTGGTTCTCAACCTTCTGGCCCTTTAAATACAGTTCCTCATGTTGTGACCCAACCATAAAATTATTTTTGTTGCTACTTCACAACTGTAATTTTGCTACTGTTATGAATCGTAATGTAAATATCTGATATGCAGGATGGTCTTAAGCGACCCTGTGAAAGGGTGGATCGACCGCCAAAGGGTCGCGACCCACAGGTTGAGAACCACTGCCTGGTTTGGTTCAGTGGACAGAGCGTGGGCTAAGGACTGAAGGGTCCGGTTAGATTCCGGTCAAGGGCACATGCCAGGGTTGTGGGCTGATCCCCAGTAGGGGGAGTGCAGGAGGCAATCAATCAATGATTCACTCTCATCATTGATATTTCCATCTCTCTCTCTCCCTCTCCCTTCCTCTCTGAAATTCATAAAGATATATAAATAAATAAATACATAAATAAATAAAGGGGAAAAGAAAAAGCAAAGTTATTTTGTCCCTCTGATAAACCTGCACATGTTTGTGTGCGCATACATCTAATAATAATATTAGGAGGAAATCCCTAATTCCAAAGCAGCTCGTGTAAACTGGCTTTATTTACATATGCAGTCCAGTCGGCTCTGCCCTGGTCCCACCCTCCCACCCTTTGGACGCAGCTTCCCTGGGAAGCGGTGTGCTCCCTACATCCACCCAGCTTTCCAAAGGCTCGAAAGTCAAGTTCATGCTTGCAAATCCAGCCCTGCCTGTGTCGTCAGAGAAAGCTCTCTTAAAATGAGGACCGTTTTGAAATGCTTATATCCCAAAAAGGATTTCTTTTGGGAAAAAGAGCTAACTTGTTCCCAAACGCTTAGTAACCTAAGACGTATTCTTCAAGGGTCTCAACAATTCGGACTTACAGTCTACAGTCAGCTTCCGTCCCTCAGCAATACCTGAGCCTGGGGAGCGCCGGGGCGCACACATGCAGAGCCTGTCGCCCCGGGGCGGAGGCTGAACACCAAGTAGTGAGGGAAGGCGACTGGGTGCGTCGAGGAGCTGGCACCGAGTGCCTACCTGTGCTTTCGGGCTGCGGGGAGACTGGAGGCGACAGGGTCGGGGAAGTTCCTGCAGCACAGGAACGCCTGCCGGGGCGCGCGGAAGGCTCTTACCTCTCGGGACTGGCGGGAGCAGCGGCGCGTGGTGGCGAGGAGAGCGCGGGCCAGAAGCCTCAGGGCCCGCGAGGTAGTGCGCGAAGCATCCTGCGCCCCGAGACTGCGCGCCCTAGCCCGGCGGCTCGCCGACCGCAGCCCCACCCGGACCCGCCTCCGACAGCGCGGGGTGGGCGGCACTCAGAGGGCGGGGGCCTGCGCGAGCCGGCGAGGCCCGCCCCGTGTCCAGGGCGGCGCATCCTTTCCTGCCTGCGCCCCGCTGGGAACAGGAAACCCCCCAGGAAACGCGCGCGGACCGCCGGGGCCAGCAGGAGGGGGCCCAGACCCCGCCAATGCACACACCCCCTTAGCCCGCAGGTGGGACCCGGGCTTTAAGGGCGAGCCAGCAGTCTCCTGACTTTTCAGATTTAATCACTTCTCTCCCGGGTCATTTTCTTCTGGGGGAGCACAAAGTAAGCCATTGAAGTGACTAACTGGTGGGTTGTAAACATGGTTTCCCAAAATACTTGGTTTCCCAAATGTTATGGAAGAGTTTTAAAAGAAAACAGTTCAGGTAAGGTGAATTTGTTTTTCTTTCTCAGGAGCCAGTGTTGGTTATTTAATTAATTTTAAATTCACATTTTAAAAACTCTGATCTGCAGGTTAAGATCGTTTGAAGAGGATAGACTTCCACCTTGTTCAACAGTTATGGTTGTTTTTGAGTACACTATGATGTGCAACACCGTTTACCATTTGGTTTTCTTCAACAGACAAAACTAATATGGTAATAGAAATCACAGCATACTAGTGGCCTCTGGGAGCAGGTGATTGGGAAGAGGCACCCGGGAACTTTTGGGGATGACAGATAAATTCTACTGGTTGGAGTGTGTGTTACACGGATTATGCATTTATCAAAACTTACTCAATTTAAGGTCTGCATTTCACTGTGAATTTTACCTCAATTCTTAAAACTCTTAAAATACATCCTTGAATCCATCACTTAGTCTTTAAAAGGTAGCACAATTATCAGAATTATCAAAGGTTGTCAGAGATACCAAATTTGTTAAGTACTTATCTTGTCAAATAACTAATTCTAGCAATACTAAATCCAAAGTTTCAAAAAAGGCTTTAAGGCCATCATTCATTTTCACTCCCAGTAAAATTAACTAGTCCAATATCCATTCAACTCAAGTTGGAATTTCTTTTCAACTAACTACATGCCAAGGTCCCTGGCATTTTCAGCTTTAAAAGCAAAAAGCTCAATGGAAAGACTAGCCTCTGTAACCTTGGGCAAATGACAATCCCTCCTTCCCTCCACTGTAAAAGGCATACAGTATGAGTTCCATTGAAGTTTCTTGGTGACTGAGTGAAACATGTAGAAAGCACTTTGCATTAATCTTTCAGACACACACCCTCCCTCAGAGACCCACTCTTGAGAGGTGGAAGGACCTAAATCCGGATGCAAATGGCTGAATCACTGTGCTTCCGTCATTTTTGCCTTAATAAAAATCCTTGCCAAGCTGTATTACTGTCTTTATTGGACAGTTAAGATAGTTTAAGCTTTTATAAAAGAAGGCAACATAGCCCTGACCAGTGAAGTTCAATGGTTAGAGTGTTGACCCATGAACTGAAGGGTCATGGGTTCAATTCCCAGTCAAGGGCACATACCTGGGTTGCAGGTTCAATCCCCGGCCCCTCGGCTGGGGCATGTTCGGGAGGCAACCAATTGATGTGTCTTTCTCACATTTTTGTTTCTTTCTCTCTCCCCACTCCCTCCCTTCCACTCTCTCTAAAAATCAAAGGAAAAAATATCCTCTGGTGAGGATTAACAAAAATAAAAGAAGGCGCCACAGACATTAAAGAAAAAAAAAAGCTTTCAAAAGAACAGTGGTCTTGTCAGTGATATGAACTAAAACAAGCTGGCTATCAAGATATCTTCAGTTCCCTTTCAAGGTCAGCAACTGCTCTAATGATGTTGTGCAAATTGTGTAAAATTTATTCACTGTCTCAATAACATCAATTTATACAGAGAGGTCTTTTCTTGCCCTAGGGGTAATACTAAGAGAAAAGGTTTAACTAATTCATGATTATCAGGACACAAGGAAGAACACAAATGACCCAATTTTCTGTGTAATAACTAGATCTTACATGTGTGTTAACCTGACTTTTCTGGAGTGCTCCTGCGTCATGGATATGGTCCATATTATAAAAATTGAATAAGACAGAGTGTGTCTCAGATAGGCTGAGCCCTGACAAGGCTGCCTGAGAAGCCTCTTGGGAACTGGGTAAAGGATGAAGATTTAGCCCTTTGCGGTCGTTTCTCTACTCTCAGCCACCAAAGCTTTTTTACCGTTCCGGTCGTATGTCTGCTCTCAGCCACCACAGCAAGGAACCGTACGAATCTTAACTCTATTCATTCATGTATCAGTTCATAATTTCTCTGAAAGCTCTGAAGTGTCTAAGCGACCTTGTCACGAACCAAAACACTGCCCCGACAAATCGGAGATATCGAAAGTCAATATAAACAAACGCGGTCGTTCCACACTCACCATGCAAAACACCGTGGCGAGTCAGTCGCCTTTTGAGAGTGAAGAAATCGACAAGCTTCGGAGACACTTCGCAGAATTTCAAATAAAGCTTTACAAAGTACGTTTAACTGTAATTAGGCATTCTCGCTTGTTAAGATATTTCAAAATAATACTCCAAAATGGCAAAAAGAAAGTTACCGAAAGAAGTGTACTGCGAATCTGAAAGTAACGATGAAGAGTTTTATTTTGGCACCTTGAATACTGACTCTGACGTAGAAAGTGATAGATAACGTTTGTAGTGATTCTACTAGTAGTGACGTAGTTCCAAAAAAGAATTAATAAATCTTGTTTATCCTTCATAATCTTGCATGTTATGTATCACTGCTCTTTCAATGGAAATTAATTCCGACCAGTATGACACCCATGTCCAAATTTAATACAACCGCAAAGGGTTAACTTTGCAAGTCAACACATTATAATCCAAAAATCACTCAGTTAAGTTAATACTTTACCTAGGACAATACCATGTACAATTACTGACTTAGACCAGTGGGAATTCAAAAGAAGTGTTATATGACAGTCCTTGAAGTTAAAGAAACCCGATTTCTCTATTTTCTTAGGGCATTAAAATAATTAGAGAACAATACAAAATATAGTCAAGTATATTGGGCAGACAACTCTTATGGAATTTAGAAATAGTAGAGTTGTGTACTGGAAACAAATTTTTTGAGAGCACATGATTGAGAATGGGGGTGGGGAAGTGAGTGAGAAGAAGTAATAAAAGAAGTTTGGACAGACGAGGGAAATGCATCCCAGAACTAGGAAGGGGCACACCTCATGCTGTTTCTTGACCTTTCACCCACAGCTGATTACTTGGTCCCTGTGAGCCTAGTTTACCAAGCTCTTCCTCTCCCACAGGCCTTCTCAGATTCCCCCATGAGAGCTAAGAGCTCCTTCCTGTCTTTCACCGCATGGTACCTGTGCCCCTTCCATGGCACACACTTCATTCCATCCTCAATTAAGTTTACTCACATCCATTTCCCCAAGTAGGCCACCCTCTTAAGGGCAAGAGCTCTATCCTACTCACTTTTGTATCCCACCATCACCACCACCAGTGACCACAAAGTTCCTCACACTAAGTTGGTATGTATGAAAAAATGTTTTCTTAATTGAATTGAGTGGGAGATAAAGTAGGGTAAAGTGAAGCCAAATTTTAATAGGTAAATGCACCAGAGTTCGTTCATTTAATAAATATTTATTGAGTGCTTACTGTGTGCCAGGCCCTGTTCTAGGCTCTGAGGCTATGTCCATGAACGTACCAGATCAAAATCTCTGCTCTTGTGGAGCTAATACTCTAGATCTATCATAAGGGATGGGATTAGCAATAAATTTACATAAATTCAACCATACCTAGCAGCAAAAAAAAGAGACAAACACATTTAAACAGTTTAATTATTGGTGCTATAAAAGTCTGCTGATATGTAGTTTTTATTATATATTGTACTTACCATATTCATAAAATACTCATACCCAGGTATCACTACAGGGATTCTAATGTAAGACTATATGTAGAACTTTATTGGCATTTAAGAGATTTTCAAGGATCATTTTGAGCATGTTCGATTTCATACTTAGGTACAGTCTTTAAAATCTAACCACCCTATAAGATATGACTCTACTACTCCAAGATGAAAACTCTGAGATTATTGGGCAAAGGAGAATCATTTTAAGTAGATGATGAGCATGTGAATAATGACATGATGAATCCACATCTGGCCGTATTAGTCTGGTGACAGGGAACAAGATATAGTGCATTCACATGAATACACCTGGTCAATCAACAGTGGAATTCACATCAAGAATTTTTTTTAAAAAGTTCATAAGCCATTTGCCATTCTTTTAAAACAACTAAAATAGTAAGAGCTTGAGGTAAAAAATATTGATAATCAACTCTTGATTACAAATCTAAAAGAACAAATCATAACATACCGACTTATTCTGATTAAAGGTTTATGATTTCCAGATATTTTCCAAAGAGTATTTAAAAGATACTAAGTTAAGAAAAATCATTTTTTAAATTTTGCAATAACTTTATTCTATATACATTAATACCAATCATTTAACCAAAAAAACAATCTTCACTTGTAAAATGTAAAAAAATTTTGGACAGTATGTGACTAGAAATATTCCATTACCATAAAGCTACCAACAGATTAATGCTCCTAAGAGCAAAGTTAGGAAAGAAAAAATAATTATACCAGTGATAAGCACCAAGACAGAACTTTTTTGCACTTAGGACCTGATTGGTTGTATTTAAACATAACCTCTACTAATAGAGGGCCAAAATAACACCTTATTTGAAAAAAGAAAAGTATATCTACTGAGGTCTGGAAAATGTGAAGAATGCCCATGTTAAGAATAAAACAATGCTGCCCTGGCTGGTTTGGCTCGGTGATTAAGAGCATCAGCCCACACACCAAAGGGTCATAGGTTCAATCCCCGGACTGCTCAGGGCACATTTGAGAGAAAACCAATCAATGTCTCTGTCTCTCTGTCTCTCCCCCCGACCCTCCAACCCTCTCTCCCTTCCACTCTCTCTAAAAAAAACAAACAAAACAAAACAAAAAAACAATGGAAAAAATATCCTCATATAAAGATTAACAAAAAAAATAATGAAAACAGTGAAAGCAATCACATTTGTGTTTTTGCAAAATACTAGTATATTCATGTCACTTTACTGCTTCTTTAGTTCACTGTATACAATTCAGATTGCTCCATTTTTGTTAATGTGTTGTCACACTAATGTAAATAAATATGCTGAATTATGTGAGTTTGCTGTAATGAATCCACAGCATTAGAGCGAGATCCCAGTAGCTCAATCTTAGCTGTGCAGCCCAAAGAGGAGTTATGTCCAAACAAGCTTACACAATGGCCTGAAAGACTTGGGCAGCCGGACATTGAATTTCCCCCAAAACAAACCTGAGGCTGAGCAATGAAGGAATTAAGGGATCTGTCATCACAATTTAGAATCAGTGACAGATTTGGAAAATGAAGAGTAAGGAAGGATGCCTCAGGCACAACATTCCCAAGACACTGGAGGATGTGAAGCAGCAACAGCCACTTTTCTGGGAGGAATCAGGGACTGACTCTGGCTGCACTTGGAGCGATTCCCTGGGTCTGCAGCTGAGGATCCCTGCACCTGTAGCAGCCTCTGGCAGTGGCACTCACCTCACTGAGAACATCTGAGAGTGTGAACCTGGGTATTGCCTCCTCCTGGTCTCAATGGTTCCCTCAGCACACATACTATCCCTTCTGGAGGCTTGGCCAGAAATCATCACTGCCTTCCACTTCTGACTTAGTCTCAGAAAGAGGGTCTCCTCTGTGCCTGCGGGTCCCTGAGTTTGAGGTAATCCCAGCATATTGTATGCTGTACAGCAGGAACATATAAAGTCAGGGAGTCCACTTTAACACTCAAGCGATCTAAATTCAGCATTATCCAGTTTTTGTTACCTCAGTAATACTTTTTAGCAGGAAAGTTTCTCCACACAACTTATGTGTGGGGTAAAGAAAAAATATTGCTAGAATATGATAGGAAGATTTTTAAAGTTCAGTGTGAAACTCATTAAGGGAAAGAAAAGGAGACATATTATTTTTCCACTTTTATGTTCCTGAGCCATCTACTTCCCAGATTTGTAATCATATCTCTGGGCATGTCTGTACAGCTCTTTAATTCAGTTTCAAGATCCACAGCATTTTTTAAACAAAATGACATAGTTGCATACTTTAAATGTCAGGCATGAAATCATCACTTAAAAAAAAAACTAGTCAGGTAATATATATGTGAGTCAGATACAATTCTCTCCTTTTTTAAGGTGCTTTGTCTGTTGAAGACATGTTATGACTGTTTCTAATAAAAGCTCTTAGAAGGAGCCTCCTATGGCACGCTGCAGTTTGATATTTTGTTCCAATGTTGTCAGGTTCTTAAACTACACTGAATGTAGGGCTTGCTTCATAAAAACCCCCCAGACTGGACAAAAACTTCACTTATTTATAATTTAGTGACTTTTAGTCACACCAAAATAACAAACTAACCTGTCTCAACATGCAGCTTCTCTTTTTCTTCTCCCATGAACTAAATTCCTTTCTTAAAAATGGTTAGAT